AAACCAATGAGCCAAAACCCGGCAACAGCCTGCCACTAGGCGGAATGACCGGAAACCTAAACACCATGTTTGACATTCCTCTGACTGAGATTGCCACCCCCCCCACAAACCCTGCCCTCTGGAAACACTTACCTGCATGGGAATCCATCACTACAGATTCCTGGGTACCCTCAATCATCAAAAAAGGCTACCACATCCACTTCTTTGAACTTCCTCCGACAACACAGGTCGTTACTCCACCATCACAACCCCTGCAAGAATAATAAATTTACTTCTCAAAGATGCCATCCAACCTGTCTATCAAAACAACACCAGGTTTTTCTTTTGCTATTTCACCGTCCCCAAGAAAGATGGAGGACTTTGCCATATTCTAGATTTAAGATTATTAAACAATTACCTCAGACTTCAAAGCATTCTTGTCTTTCCATATATCAACGACTGGCTCCTTCTAGCACACTCTCGCTGCAAAGCTTGGCGAGACACCCGTTTCACCCTCGCCCTTGTTCGCAACCTCGGTCCAACTATCAACGAACAGAAATCAAAATTAAAACCTACAAGGATTACACATTACATAGGCGCACTCATAGACTCCACATGAGCTTGCGTGTTCCTCCCTGCAGAAAAGAGACAAAATCTCTTCACCTCACTTCATGGCTTCACTCCGCATGCCCTGATACCTGCCTTAACGGTGCAAGGAGTTCTAGGCACCATGGCCTCTATGACATCAGTTGTACAGCATATGCGTCTCAAAATAAGATCTCTCCAATCCTGGTTTCTGGCCCTATTCAATCCACTAACAGACTCTCCCCACATTTTCCTAAGAGTCACTCCAGAACTGGACTCTCATCTACAATGGTGGCATTCCCATACCAACCTTTCTATCGGGTGACCGTTCCAACAACCTCGCCCATGAATACAAGTCGCTACCAACACCATTCGTACCGGCTGAGGGACTCATTGCAAATCCCCCACAGTCCATGCCAAATGGTCTCACAGAGAAAAACTGCACCACACGAATGAGTTGGAGCTACTAGCCATCATAAAGTCCTGCAAGGCTTTCAGAAACCTTCTTGTAGCAAAAATGGTACAGATCACCAACAACACCACAGCGATGTACTATATCCTAAAACAAGGCAGCACACACTCCCCAGGTCTCCTCTACCTAGCGGTCGACCTCTGGGAGTGGTGTCTGCAACTTCACATCTGTCTCACAGCCTTATACAAGACAACGACCTAGCAGATTTGCTCAGCCATACAGATGCCAAAGCTCACATGTGAGAACTAGATCAATCAGTATTGTGCCAACTATGCCAGAAATGGGGCACACCGACTCTCAATCTCTTTGCTTCCTGAGTGAATCGGAAATGCCAACTGTATTGCTCCCGAGCAGGAATAGGAAAACATTCCCAGGGAGACACATTTGTCAGCCATTGGTCCAAGACTCTTACCTATCTTTTCCACCATTCCCTCTCCTCCATAAAGTTGTCGTCTGTCTACAACAAAACAAAACCAATGCCATTGTTATAGCCCCTTGGTGACCGAGACAGACTTGGTTCCCAGTTCTCTGCAGTCTCTCATCAGACATCCACCATCTTCCCCCGCCTGCCACACCTTCTCACACAGAACAACTCCCAAGTCCCACATCTGGACTTACCTGTTCTGCACCTGGCAGCTTGGAGGATTCTCCCTCGTTAATGAATGTTCATCATGTCAAAAAAACCATCAACAAGGAAAGCCTACCTGTACAAATGGAAGAAATTTCAATCCTTTCCCAAATCTTCTTCATCATCCTCCATCAATCCATCACTTTCCACTGTTCTCCACTTCCTCCTACTTCTCAAATCCAAGGGCCTCTCTATCTCATCCTTGAGAGTCTACCTTTCTGCAATAATCTCATACCAACCTCCAAATTCTCCAGCAGCAAACTTCTTCAAACATGCAACAACAAAATGTTTTCTGAAAGGTCTCTCTCATATCTACTCCGATAATCGACCTCCCTCTCCACAGTGGTCACTCTTGTTTTGAAACAGCTAACCAAAGCTCCTTTTGAGCCATTAGCTACAACTGACTTAAGACTCCTCGCCTTTAAAACAGCTTTTCTCGTAGCCATCACCTCAGCTCGACGAGCTAGTGAATTGGCAGCTTTACACTATGACTACCTTTATCTACAATGTTTTCCCAATAAGGTGAAGTTATTCATGGACATTTCCTTCCTCCCCAAAATTGTCTCTCAATTTCATCATTCCCAGCCAATTGTCCTTCCCTCATTTTTTCTGTCACCTTCTTCAAGACAAGAAAAAATAGTCCATATGCTGGATGTCAGAAGATCTCTTGCTTTTTATCTCCAACATACCCAACCTTTCAGAGTCATCTTCTCACTTCATAAGCCATCAGCTACCTACAAAAGGCCGTCAGGTAACTTCCCAATCTATCTCCAGATGGGTCGCCTCTCGCCTCTACCATTCATTTGGCTTATCAACTTGCTCAATAACCAGCCGCTAGAGTGGTTTGCCCTCACTCCACCAGGGCAGTGGCAGCCTCTACAGCCTTTTTCCATGGTGTACCTCTTCCGGATGTCTGCACCTCTGCCACCTGGGCACAGCCATCCACGTTTATCTGTCGTTATAGACTTGACCTCCAGCAGAAGTCTGATGCTGTTCTAGCCTCTACCTTTGCATGACACCCTGCCTCTGGGTAAGACAGCTTATTAGTCACCCAGGGTGTGATTCACAGAGGCCACGAAGGAAGACAGCTTACCCACCTAGAAGTAGGGGCTGCATTTGGAGATTTTAAAAAAACTTTTTCGACAACATGTCTTGGAAGACTTTGGTCAGCAAGATCAATGGCCATGTAGATGAGGGAGCCCAGGAGTGGTGGCTCACAAAAATAACTTTTCTAAGCTTTGGACTGTCTCATCATAGAGGTTTCACAGCAAGGAAAGTTCATCAGGGGTTTACCACTGCCACCTTGACAGAGTAGTGGTAGTACAGGTATACACCAGGGGGCGATAACCAGAAAAATCCTCCCTGAGATGATGAAGACGCCAAGCACCAGAGTAATGTTGATAGCAGATATTGTATTATTTACAGAATATACAGGTATATTTACAACTAAGTCTTTGTTCTCAGTTCCACAGTAATGCACAACAGTTTCCACAGAGTTTAGTGCATATATCAAAGTCAATGTCCAGTAAATAAGTTCAGTAGTTGTATACCATATGTTCTATCCAACTAACCAGAGTTCCTCTTTAATACCAAGCACGTAGACACGGCTTCCTCCAGGATTCTCAGGCACAGGAACACGACGACTCTTCTCTACAAACACACCAACAACAAGCCACAGATTGTGTGTGCTTGTGCTGATAGTTTTATCCCAGTATTGTCCAATCCTATGATTGCACTCACAGCTGTAACAATCACCTCAGCTGTGTATATTCAAGCCTTGCTTCACTTTTACAATACCAATCCTGACAATACTTATTGTCATGTTACAAAACTTGATTTAACAATTCGATCCAGGTTTAGCCCAAACCTGTCACACTTTCTGTGCAGTGTCAGCAAAAGTGCACCCTTAGTGTCACTGCCATTGCCTCCTCCACCAGTGTCATCTTCAGCTATCACTGGTGCCCAGTAGCTGCCTTGAAGGGGGTGGATGCATCTTAGTTTGCATTGGGACTCCTGCATCTTCAGTGGGAGCTCCATCATGGTCTCCTCCTCCAAAGCTACTGAAGAGCAAGACCATCCACACTCTTGTGGATGACCATGTATGGGTGTAAAAACTGGACAGTAAAGAAAGCCAACAACAAAAAAAAGAGATTAGTTTGAAATATGATTCTGAAAAAGAGCTTTGCTGGATGTCGAGAAAGGCGAATATGTGTGTCCTAAATAAAATCAAACCTGAACTATCTCTGGAGGCAAAAGCGACGAAACTAAGGCTGTCCTATTTTGGGCCCATCATGGGAAGTCACGGTTCTCTGGAAAAGAGAATAATGCTGGGAAAGGTGGGAGGCAGCAGGGAAAGAGGGAGACTAACTATGAGATGGATTGACTTCCTCAAGGAAGCCACGGACTTGTGTGTCCAAGAGCTGAGCAGAACCGTTGGGGGCAAGACATCCGGGACGGAGGCCCCTCGTTTTTAGAGGGTCGCCAGAAGTCGGATACGAACTTGACGGCCCACAACGGTCACCGCGACGTTCCCTGACGCGTCTACTATGTATCAGCTCCTTCTGCTCCGCTCCCCAAGGCTTGGAACAATGAAGGGGCTCAGCAAAGAACCGAAGCGCAAACGTGAACTCCCCTTCAATGGAGGCGCCCTCTGGGCCGGGGGCTGCCTGCTCTTCGCCCCTTGAAACCTTTTGCTCCTTCGTGTGAAAAAAGCTTTCTAGAGACGAGCCGCGCATCGTTTTAAAAGCAATCG